AGAGAGGGAACACAAGCAGGGGGAGTGGGAGAGGGAGAAGCAGGCTTCCCACCGAGCAGGGAGCCCGATGTGGGGCTCGATCCCAGGACTCTGGGCTCATGACCTGAACCGAAGGCAACACTTAACGACTGAGCCACCCAGGCGCCCCTTTTTTTCTTTTTGCTCCTCTGACTGGATAATTTCAAACCTCCTGTCTTCCAAGTTGCTGATTCTTCTGCCTGTGTGGGTCTACTTTTGAAGTTTTGACTGAGTTCTTCAGTGTGGTTATTGTATTTTTTCAGCCCTAAGATTTCTGTTTGGGTTTTTTTGATGGTTTGTTTCTTTGTTGAACTTCTTGTTTTGTTCATGAACTGTTAATCTAATTTTATTTAGTTGTCCATGTGTTCTTGTAGATTAAACTACTTTAAAAGGATTCTTCAGAATTCTTTGATCCTAGATCTACATCTCTTTTTTTTTAAAGATTTTATTTGACAGAGAGAGACATAGTGAGAGAGGGAACACAAGCAGGGAGAGTGGGAGAGGGAGAAGCAGACTTCCTGCTGAGCAGAGAGCCCGACGTGGGGCTCGATCCCAGGACCCCGGGATCCTGACCTGAGCCGAAGGCAGATGCTTAACAAGTGAGCCACCCAGGCGCCCCTAGATTGACATTTCTTTAGAGTAACTTATTAAGCTTTATCTGTTTCCTTTGGTTGTATCAAATTTGTCTGATTTTTCATGATCCTTGATTCCTTATGTTGGTATCTGCATTTGAGTAAGTGGTCTTCTCTTCCAGACTTTGCAGGTTTGCTTTGGCAGAGATAGTATTTCAAAGGTCAGCTCAATTTGGGCTTCTGGACAAGTCTGCTGGTAATGTCTTGGGTAGGTGAAGCCTGCTATTAGGGTCTATTATTTGGACAAGGCAACTGTTTAAGCTCTGAGATAAGGGTGTTGGGTATACCACTGGCTGAAAACAGCTGGATAGGACTGTTGGCTTGCTTCCCTGCCCAAGTGAGGCTATAGGATGAGCTCCATGGTTGCCTAAATTCTGTGTCCAGGCTTTCTAAGACTGGGTACTATACTTAGCAGCAGGTGAGGCTATGAATTTGCTTCCTTGCCCTGGCCAGGCAGCAGGACAAAACCCAGAGTCTGCATGGTTCACAGCCTTGGGGCCCAAATCGGGCAAGAGTGTGCACTGAATGAGGTCAGATGAGGTCACCAATTTTGTTCTGCAGATGGGGAAAGCCACAGGCTATGTATGTTCTCTGTTCAAGTGCCACTGTAAACAGGGCTGTTGGGTGGGCCGTGCAGCTTCCTCTGTGTTCTGGTAAGGCTCCTTAGTCATGTGGGCTGAAGGCTGTATTCAGCTGTAAGTGGAACTATGAATTTAGTTTCCCTGCCGAGGTGCAGTGGGAGAAGCAGCTCCAAGGCCGTTAAGGCTCTTTGCGGTCTTGACTAAAGCTGACCCATGCTTCCCTGACCAAACCGGACCACTAGCTTTGCTCTAGGGGTGGTCAGTTCTGCACACTTGCCTCTTGGCTCAAGTGTGGCTGGGTTATGCAGAAGATTCCAGGTGTTCTTGCCAGCCCTTCCTCTCAGATGGGGCCAAGGACCGTGCTCCATAGCAAGTGCGGCCATGATTCAGCTTCTCCAGCCTCAGTGGGACTTGGAGAGCCCTCTTCAGGCAACTCTCAAATTATCCCAAACCAGGCTTTCTGGTCAGGAGGGGCCGGGAGCCACATCCCACAACTGCTAGGGCTCTCCCCAGCCCTACTGCCTGGGCACAGGCAGACCAGGCTACAGCGCCTACACACTCCTCTTTGAGGAGGAGGAGGACCCGAATCAGGCAGACCTGCCCCCTGCCTAGTTCCCCGGTCAGACTGCACTGCTAACTTGGTTCTGCAGTTGAATAAAGCCACTGGTTGCGATTACTACTTGGGCCCTGCAAGTATGAACTTGGTTGGCTGAGATCTAAGTGCTGGTTGTTGGAAGTCCTTCCCCACTTACGTCACAGATGCCCCTGCAATCCCCATGGGGTGAAACCACAGTAGGTGCTCCCACAAAGTGACCCGCAATGCTGGGGGAACTGGATATCTAACCTGAACTCTTCTCCCTTGGAGGAACCGTAGGTTCAGGGGGACCTCTCAGCGTGGTGCTACCCTGGCCTAGGGGAGGGGCAGTAAAGCCGCTTCTCCTACTCCTCCAGTGCAGTCTGTCTTGGTCTCTGTGCTGAGGGGTGCTTCAGCCTCGGCATTGTGCTCTAGGATTCTCAGTGGTGTCTTGTCTGTGAATAGTTGCTAGTTGTTCTTATGAAGGGGCGTGAAGTCAGGAATGACCTATGTTGCTATCTTGGGGAGGTCACTGCCCTTACTACGTGTTGAACATGGTTTTGAGGACTTTATATGGATTAACTTCTTTAATCCTCCCAACCACTTTATGGGATAGGTCACCCCATTTTACAGATAGGAAAACTGAGGATAAAGTGGGAACTCTTGTTTGACTCATGCCCCTTCTGCTTTTAATTGTGAGAGTGGAACTCATCACACTGTCCCTACCTCCCAAGAGCAGGCACCCCTCTCCTCCACCATGGCCAGCAGTGCTCCATGGCCCTTTGCTGGGCCCTCTGGGGAACATATCTGCTAGAGATGGCAGATTCAATGGGGGAGGCAGGAGATGCAAGTGGAAAGGAGCAACAAAGGGACTTTCCCGTTCTTCAGGACACTGGTGATGCCAGGGGCTCTATTTTTTAATCCTCACTTCTCCACCTCCCCCCCCGCAAAAAAGTTGGTGGTGGGATTGGAAACCCCCACCGGTTACCCTCCCCACCAGAGCCTCTCTTAGGCCACTGAGGGCTTTCCAGCCTCCCTCTGGATAAGAGCAGCTCCCCACCCAAGGCAGCCACCCTGCTTCATCCCTAGAATGTGGGTTTAGGCTTTGAGCTTTTAACCAGGGGAGACACAGACCTGGAGAGGACTTGTTCAGGTTGTAGGTGTTCCAGCCTAAGGTACACCCAGGTGTCCTAAGGCCAGGGTTATATCCTTTCCCCAGGCTGCCACTTGGTGTGGAAGTTGGCATGGCTGGGGGGCTGCCATTCCCAACACTGCTCCCCTAAGAAAATAGTCAGTGGACATCTCACAAAAGAGCTTTGGGAGGTTGTCTGATCCTAGGTTAGGAAAGACTCTTACCCCACCAGTAAAAGGGAAGAAGATAAAAACACTGCCCCTTCTTTTCTTGTATTTGCATAAAATCTCCAGAAGGAACCTTCAAGGAGAAGCCTGGCCCATGGATGGACTGACTTTTGTGTCATTTGAATACAGAGCCATGTGAACATGTAGCCTGTTCAAAATGAGCATCTTTTTAAAAACACTCTTTCCTGAAGCCCCAGGCTGGGAGGCAGGACTCCTAGGTTCTGGTCCTGCTTCTGCCATGCCCTGACTGTAACTTTGGGTAACTCACCTTCTCTCTTTAGGCTGTTCCTGCTGCTATAAACATGAGTGAGCTGAACATCATCTGCAAGGTTCCATTCAGCTACCAGGTCTAGGATTCTAGACTCCCCAGCTAGATTTTACAGTCTCTAAAGGGAGAGATGGGGCAGTTTTGGAGTCTTTGGAAAAAGTCTCCCTTGTCAAGCTTGGCCCGGCGGGGGTGGGGGGTTGTTCACCCAGCTAGAAGCCACTCCCTCCCTGGGACCCAGGTCTTCAGAGCAAGCTGGCCAGGACTGTTCTGTGAGTCAGGACGACAGAAGGTGCTGACCTAGGGGAGCAGGCTCAACACAACTCAGCTTTTAGAGAGGTGTAGATCTAGGTTCAAATCCTGGGCAAACCTGAGCTGTAGTCATTTAACCACTCTGAGCCTGAAGTTCCCCATCTATAAGATAATACCAGCTTCACAGGTTAAGAGGGTTAAATGAGATATCTGAAAAGCACCTGCACACGGAAGGTACTGGACACACGTAGCATCTTTCCTCCCTCCCTCCAACAGAGCAGCTAGGACACAGAGGAGGCTGGTTTAATTTGTAGTTGGTTTTCTTATGCAAATCCATGAAACACGGCCTTCTCGGTTGATTCTCCCAGCAATTTTGTTGCTGCAAACCCAAAACTATGTTGGCTGCTCACACCACTGGAGCAGAAAACAAAACCCACCTAACTTTGCCAGCTTAGGACATCAGGGGGCTTAGCTTTCATTTGTGTGCATGCAGCAAACAATGCCAAATGGCCTTTGGGAGATGGCACGAGTCTCCAGCTGGTAGGTGGTCCAGTAGGGGTGGGGGGAGGGAGAGATGGAGCACATCAGCACTTCCCAAGGCTTCCACTCAACAGGGACAGGGAGCACAGATGGGGCCGGGGGCTCGGCGCTGGGCAGCAACTGACTTCCTTCAGGACCTCAGGCCCTTCCGGGTCTCCGAGCCTCTGGGTTTTCATCCATACACCTAGCTTACAGGCTTGTTGTCATGAGTAAATTTGCCTCCTCCCTCTTAAGAACACCTCCTAGGTGTCTAAGGCCTTCAAAGAGGAGACGCATTCACAAAACTGCCTTGTGGCAAATGGACCTGCAGGGATTTAACTGATGTAGAAAACACAGGCTTGTCACCGGAGTTGGTTGTAATACGTGCGCTAGCCCCAATGCACACGGGATGAGCCAAAGAGCAAAATGGACTTTTTTTTCTCTATGGCAGACTGATGCCTACAAAGTGTGTCTGGGGTGGGGTAGAAAGTTTCTTAGTCCCTGGCAGAGACTTGGTGTCTGTGCCGTGGAGAGGCAGGGGCAACCCCAGAGCTTTCAAGACAAACACGGGGGCATTTTATTTAAACGACAGGACAGATGTCCAAGAACATCCGCTACAGCCGCCCCCCGCCAAGGAGCCCTCTGACGGGAGGTGGGACCGCAGGGAGCCAGGCCCAGTGCAGCCCAGCCCGGAGGAGGGCTGCCAGGGGCGTGGAAACAAGAACCCACAACTCTCCCCATAGTGGCCCAGAAAGAGAAAACCAAGATGCAGACCCAAAGCCATCCCAGACTTTTCCTGTGGCTTCTTGAAAGTTGTGTGCTTGTGACCTGAGAATCGAGCTGAGGGGGAGGAGCCCGAGGGAAGGGAAGGGAGCGCCCCTGAGGAAAGCACAGAGCCAGTAGAGGGAGGACAGGCAGCAGAACGTCTGGGGGCCAACTTCCAGCAACCTCTGGCAGGGCTCTGGGCCCAATCCTGAGATAGAGTGCTCAAGAAAGGAGACTTACCAAAAAGAAAAGGGTCTGATCTCTCTGAGGCTGAGGTATTAGAGCCTGGTCCCAGGGTACAGACATGCTGGGGGGCTTCGTTCTGGTGAATTAAGGACCATACACACATAACCGCAGGAGTCCCGAGCACAGAGTGCCCTGCAGGCCCCTTGGCCTCAGAAGACAATTCCTAATACCTCCTCCTGCAGGTGCCCGGGCTCTGATGGCCCCACATCGGTGTTGCCTTGTCCAGGCAGGAGCTCACAGAAGTCCACACTCTTCACCCTGAGATGCGTGGTCTCAGGGGGGAGGCTTACGGTATTCCAGTGGTACCATCCTTTCCGGCCCCGCCGCCGGGTTCCTCTGAGTGGGGCAGGCAGCAGCAAATAGGGCAGGAGAAAGCTTTCTCAGAAGGACTAGAGCGCAGGCAGCTCCTCAGGCACTTGGTCTGGGTGCAGGAGAGGCTCGGGGCCTCAGCAGCGATACACCCTCAGGCTACTGGTCTCATCCAGGCCCAGCTGCAGAAGGCCCGAGGTAGCTGCCGGCTTGGGCACTGAAGAGAAGAGCTGTCTGGCCACGAGGTGAAGGAAAACTCTGCAGTCAAGTCAGCTATTCAGGTCCAGGGAAAGGCCAAGGCCCAAACAGGGTCCTCCTTGGACCGCCGCCCCGCCCCCCACCCCACCACCACCCAGGGCACAAACACAAGCTCTGTAGCCCACCTCAGCCATCCCAGCAATGACAGCAGGAAGGGGCCAAGACTTGGGGACCAAAGGATACAACTTGGGGTCATTCCTGTAATGTTCTAGCCACTTTCGGTTGGCCTCGATCATGCTCTGGAAGTCTGTGCTGCCTGCCTCAGGGCTGGAGCCGTGGGAATGGGCCCGCCGCAGGAGGCGCAGCTGCTCACTGGGAAGGCGGAGGCCGGCGTGAGGAGAGGGAGAGAGGAGGCAAGAGGACTGGAGGAAGGGGACAGCCGACCCGCTTCTCCCTCCTCTCCACACACCCCATACACCAGCCAGGGCCTTCGCGGGGTGGCTTTAGCAACTCCAAGCTTCCTTTGCTGGCAAGAATGCCCTTCTGGAATGATGAGCATCAGTTCCCCAAAGACAAGGTGGTGCCCCCCCCCCGGCCCCTCCCCTAGGTGAACACTCCTGACGTCAGGGCTCCCACATCGGCCTAGTCCCAGCCAATCTGACCAGCAAAAGCTTTCCCCTCTGTTGACTCCAATACCTGCCCAGCATCAGCTCCTGAGTGGGCCAAAGGGTAAGTGGGGGTGCTTATGGTTGGGGGCCTGTGGAGGGGGGGCAGGGGATATATTTGGCAAGGAAGAAGATGAATGGGAAATTAACAACAGGTTTAAGTAATTGCCCATCTGTCTCTCCCCCAGGGTGCCCCTTCTCACTCCAGATGTTGCTCAGCAGGACTGCGGGAACAGACAACAAGCTCAATGGCAAAGACAAAAGCCATGCTCAAGGACAGGAAGGGCCAGGGGAAGGAACAGGGTCCTGCCAAGGCTGATTTCTCCCTGCAGGGGCTAGCAGGCAGCTTCCTCCCAGAGCTGGGCCAGGTGAGACCGGCCGGCCGCCACTGGGACCTCAGTGAGTAAGACTTTTCTCTGGTGGTGGTAGAGGCACCTCAGACCCAGGCAAGCAACTCTGTGGCCTGGGGACCTGTCCAAGCTCTCTGGGCAACGTAACCAGAGTTCTGCTCCCCTGGGAGGTGCCGCCTGCCCAGGGAGGCTTACCTGGCAGACACATAACCCAGCCTGTTCTCCAGTGGGGCAGGGCCGCTGCTGAGGAACGGGACTCCAGCTGGAAAAGGAGGAAATCATCCAGAAATGGGTCACGGAAGCCAGTCCCAGCAGGCCACCTCCCAGCTCACCAGTGCACCTCCCGCCTCCCACAGACACACAACAACAGGGCAAGTTTCAGTGGTTGGAGGTGAGAGACAGATGAGAGACAGGAATTGTCCTGTTTATTTGTAAAATTTAATCTACTTTTCTATTTGGGTTAAGACAGATATGTAACTTTTTCCCCAAAGTAACTGTGTTTTTATGGCTTTTCACCTTCTTCATCAGGACTAAGAGACCAGGAGAGGCCCCCTCGCCCAGAACCAGGGCAAAGCTGTATGGCCAAGGGGTTATGAGCAGAATCTTGAAGTCATAGAGACGGGGGGCCAAAACCCAGTGTGTTACTTACTCCCTGGGTACCCTGGAGCATATCCCTTAACCTGAGTCTCAGTTTTCTCATCTGTAAGGGGGGGATAAATATTACTACCTCAGAGGGTTGTTAGAAGGACTCATGTGTGGCCCCTCACACAAGGCACAAGATGGCAGCTATCACAATGAGGACAGGGATGACCTTTTAGGTTCTGCTGAGCTCCAGCTCCCATCAGAAAGGCTGCAGTCAGCCCAAGCTCCAGGTCAACCGTCATGACTCACAGAGCCTGTGGCTTCAGGGTCACCAGCAAATCTTCCTCCCATAATGGGATGGGCCATGCCAAAGCTGGGGGCGGCAAGGGGCCGGCAGAGGAGGCAGAAGGGAGGGAGGCTTACTTGGAAAATACTTGCGCCACTTCTCCAACAGGAAGTCGTCCACTGTTTGAGCCACGGAGGAGGAGAGCGTGGAGCCCAGCCCGGGGTCCCAGGCCCACTGGGTGGATGTGGGCACTGCCGGCGGCCAGGCTGAGACCCGGGCCAGGGAGGGGCAGGCGGGTATGGAGGTGCTCCTGCGGTCCCGGGGCAGGGTGGGCGCTGGTGTGGAAGCGAAGAGGGGTGGTGGCGGCTGCGGGTTGAGACTGCCCAGCATGCTGAGGACACCGTTCAGCTGGCTGCTGATCCGCTGCAGGGAGCTGCTCAAGTACTGGAACTTGTAGGGGAAGGTGGCACTTGCAGTCAGGTTGACTAAAAGGGAAGGACTCAGCTTCAGGGCCTAGGACGGCCCCAGGCACGGCAGCGCCCTGGCTGCCCTCCTGGTCTGTGGACCACAGCCCCTCGGCTGATGGGGGCCAGAGGGACGGCAGGGCTTCTGTGTTCCAGAGGGTGCAGACTGGAAGCTGGCTGAGGGGGAAAAAGCCTCTCCAGGGAGCGGGCAAGGAAGGGAGAGGAGATGGCCCTCTGCCCCACTGCAGACCAGAGTGGCAGAGGGAGAACACCTCGCAGAAGGCACCAGAAGGTCTCTGCATGTTCAGGTGGCCCCTGACCCTTTCTGCCCTGTGTGCTGGCAAACCCCAATGGGGTCACTCCTCCCAAGCGTTACTGAGTGCCTGCTCCAGACACTGGCTCCTAGTAGGCACCCCCCAAGTCCCCCTCTCTCCACGGATACCATGGTCCTCCCCCTGCCGGCACTGCCACTCACAGTGAGGCAGGGGGTGGGATTCGGAGCTTGAACTGCTCATGTCTTCCGTGTCGCTGAGGTCAAATGTCACCACCTTCTTGGTGGAAGCTCGTCTCAGCGTGTCCTCATCTGAAGCCTGATGGGTACGAGCAGCAGTGAGTACTGGTGCCTGCCCTCTGTGTTCTGCCCACTGTCCGTGTGACGGCCCCGGACTCTCTGGGACCCAAAATTCTGGGAGAGGGACACCCTACGGGCTGCCTTGCCGCATGGGAGGAGGGAAGCAGGGGTTGGGAGGACACAGTGGGCTGACACATAGGCAGCAGGGCCCCAGGACCAGAGCCCGTGCCCCCAGCAAACTCCCCCTGCAGGATGGCTCCACCTAGGCTTCCCTCCTGCCACACCCACGCCTCGAGCGTCCAGAGGACCCTGGAGGAGGCCGCAGGAAAAGGAGGGAAGCCTAGGTGTGTCCATTCCCAAACCCCGGGGCCCAGCTCTCCTCAGGAACCCCCGCAGGGCAGGGCCAGTGCCTCTCAAGAGCCTGCAGCAAGAGGCTCCGGGTCTGCTCAGAACTATTCCGCACAGATGTATTCAGCAACCCAGCCCAGGAGCCCCAGAGGCTCAGCTCCCCCCACCATGGGACCAAAGAACCCAACAGCAGCCCAGGAAAGGAAGAGGGAGGCCCTGGCCACCATGCTGTACCTCCTCCCGAAGAGATGACTCTAGCTGATTCAGCTTCTCCTCTTTCTTCCTCAGCAGGTCGTGGCCCTTCCGCATGGCCGACTTCATCTCATCCAAGTGCCTGGTCTCCTGCCGCCAGAGAGAAAGGGGAGGACAGACACGGGGTCTCAGCGCAGGTGCTAGAGTCCCAGCTCTGTGTGTGGTTGTTGGCTGGGTGACCCTGGACAAATCACCTCTCTGGACTGTCCTCTCAAGAAGAGAAATACTAGTTTGGTTTTTTTTTAAAGATTTTTTATTTATTTATTCATGAGAGACAGAGGCAGAGGGAGAAGCAGGCTCCCCGCGGAGCAGGGAGCCCGATGTGGGACTCGATCCCAGGACCCTGGGATCATGACCTGAGCCGAAGGCAGACTCTTAACTGACTGAGCCACCCAGGCGTCCCGAAATACTAGTTTTCTAGGGTCATGAGGATTCAATGAGGTAGTTACATGCTGAGCCCTGGGCCCGCACCTAACACATTCTCAGAGTTACAACATGCTACCCCAGGGTTATTACTGTCCCTGCCCCCACCGCCCTCCCTCTCAGCATGCAGCAGAGCAATGAGGGCCTGAGGGCAGCATGCAAATGCCCCTGGTAAGCCTGCGGGCACCAACAGAATTCTAAGGGAGCAGGCCTGAGCTGCTGGCCAAGGCCCTCAGATGGCACCATGAAGTCTCTTCCTTTTCCCTGGAAATTAGGCTATCAGACAAGTACTTCAGCCTTATGCCCAGTGTGCTCAGAAGATTCACTTATAAACCACATCTTTAGGGTGACGGGCCAGAAAAGCACTGGATGTGAAATTTTAAAAACCTTACTTGTACTCTTCACCTAGAAAGTGAGAGTCCCACCACTGCCTTGCACATTGTGAGGACGAAGAAAGCATTGTACACTGAGCATTGACATGTAAATGTCAGGTGCTTTCATCCTCACGGAGATCAATAACCTGCAGCACCTGTCCGGTGGCCCCGGGCCGATGTGACCACGCTGCGGGGAACCCAGAATTACCAGAAGCCACGGCTGCCCTGGCTGCCCCCAGCACCCCCCACCCCAGCCCCCGCAGGACCGGCAGACTCTCCTCAAGGCCCCTGACCTCCTCCAGGTCCTTGCGCGCATCTTCCAGGGCCTTGGTGCCTGGGGGATCGTCGGCATCCTCCTGAGCACTGGCCAGCTCCCGGCACCAGTGCTGCTGGGCGGCCTTCAGAGCCGTCTGCCGTCTCCGCATGGAGCGGGTCTGCCGCACCAGGAACTCCTTGGCACTGCGGAGAGCCATCCCCTCGGCGGAGAGGTAGTGCTGGATGCTGTGGGAGGGCAGGGCAGAGGGGTTGGAAAGGGAAAGCACACACGCTCTGAGAACTGCTCTGGGTCACTTGAGCACTTCCCCGACAGATGCCCAGCCTGAGCACAGACTACGAGGCTGGGCATGAATACACAAGTATTCACACTCTAGTGCGCAGCATGCTGCAGAGTCCTCCCACCCTGCCTCTAAAGGGATTGGGCCTGGGGCCTCCAGATAAATGGCCAGACACTCCCATCAGCTTGATCCTCAACCAGAGGGCAGCAGGCCCCAGCATGCTGTGTCAGTGGTCACAATGGGTCAACCTTCCTGGCTTGCTAAAGAAATTCCCTCCGTCCCTCAGGTCCTCGTCCCCGAACCAAGCCCCACTGGTGATCACCCCAGGTCTGTGATGCAGGCACTCACCCCTTCATGGAATCCTGGACCCAAACTAAGGCTATCAGAACTCACCTGTCCAAGGACAAGTTGGTCTCCTCCTTGCTCTGGGAGAGAGAAGAGGATACCTCTTTGGTCTGGTTCTAAGGACACACAGTAGAAAAGGCCCACTGAATATCAGATACACTGCCGGCTCAAAGGACCCCCCCAAAGCCCCTCCCAGGGGCCTAAATACAGAAATGGCTCTGGGGGAGCTGCTGGGCACCATTCGTGTATAGATATCATTTGAGTGATGGAGATGGGGAACTGGGACTATTAAGGACAGGAGGCTAAGGTCGTTTTTGAAGCAAAGCCAGGACCCCTCCTGGAGCACCGCCCCAGTCCCACCACCCTGTCCCTTCCACAGCACAGAGAAACTCACTGTCCCAAGGGATTTCCTCAGGTCCTCAATGTGGAGATCTGGCTCAGAACTTGGGGAGGCGTTACTCTCCTTAGCTACTAGCTCTTTCAGTGTGTCCTGCTTCCTCTGAGCTTCAGCCTCCAGGTCGCTGTGATGGGGGTAGAGGTGGGGTTTGGGGGGCAGGGGGGAGACAGGCTCACATGATGAAGCAGGGCGGGCAGCACACCAACATGCCTGCTGGGGTGGGCTTCAAGCCCTGATCTTAGGGAGACAGCAGGACTGGGGCATGACCGGTAGAACCAGAGACCCCCAGCTGTTCATACCTCTCACCCCATACTCCCTACAAATGCAGCTAAGCCCCTCTGCCTGGCTCCACCCCTGCCTGATAGTTGGGCCATGAGCAGCCAGGGCCCAGGTATGTCAGAGGGCATATAGCAGGGGAGGCCAAGTGCAGGGTGCCCACACCACCTGATGTGCTTCTGCAGCCTCCGACTCTGGGTCTGCAGCGCATCCACCTGGGACTCCAGCTCCACCTTGCGGGCCCGAAGCTCATCCAGGAGTCTTTGGAGCTGTCGGTTTGACTCCAACAGGTGGGTGTGCTCCTTCTTTGACTCCTCCAAGTGCTGATAGCTGGCTGTGACTTCCTGAAAAGATAGAAGCACCTGGAGACATGCGGGACCAAGGCAGGCAGCAGCAGCACAGGGACCCTGAGGAGCATGGGAGCGAGCGTGGAACTCAAGCACCCTGAAGTCACTGCGCCGAGGGTAGGAGGTGTGTGGCCTCTGCCGCCCTCCACAGCCCCACCCCCTGGGGCTCCCCAGCTGGGCTATCTGTGGCATCCTGCCAACAGCATCTGGAACCCTAAAGCCCGGGACAGATCGGGTGAGCAAAAGGTGGGATGTTGCGGGGAGAGGGAGGGAAGGTAAAGGGAACGGGGCAGAGACGAGGGAGGACAGGGAGCCAGCCAAACCTCACTCTGCAGCGCCACCTGCCTCTGCACATCAAGGAGCTGCTGATGCTCCTTTCGGGCGGTCTCCTCCTGCGGGGGTGGGGAAGAAATGGGGCTGTCTGGCCAGCTCCAGACGCCCTGGGTCTAAGGAGCAGGAGGCCCCAAGCTCTCCCTGGGGCGCTACCACTCCAAGGTCCAGGGCCCCTGGAGATGCTATCCTCAACTCCTGCTCTCTCACCTGGAGATCCAGTTGAGCCAATTTGGCCTTGACATCTTTGGTTCTGGTTTCAAGTTCCACCTCTAAATCTTGTAGTTTCCTTTCCTGCACAGAAATAGGTAGAGTGAAAGATGTAAGTGTAGGAAGAGTGCAAGGCATGAGCTGAGGGGGCAGGAGGGAGATCTGGACCCACCCTTCCATAGCACAGCCTCCAAGCTAAGGCTCAGCCTCATCCCACTTGCCCTTGCAGGCCGCCGGGAAAGTACCACCTTGTGTCTTCCCAATGGGGGCAAGGAGAGACAAAGGCGCCAAACCCAGGGTCCTGTGGGGGCTGACCTCCTCTAAGCCCGGGGCTGTTCGCTGGCCCAGAAAACAAAGGACCATGCGTGCCCTGGCCTGTGAGAGACCCCCGCACCTGAAGCTATCAAGGCTCAGATCTGCGGCTGCCCCAGCTGCCTGCCCCCGGCACTTCTCCTGCATGGAGGTGCCAGAGGGGGCTCACCCACCCTGGTCCCCCGGGACCGCCCGGAGCCCCCACCTGCTCCCGGTGCCGACGCCGCAAGTCCTCGAGCTGCCTGTCCTGCATCTGCCTCACGGCCTCCAATTCTCGCTCGTGTGACCTGCGCAGGCGCTCCAGCTCCCCGGTCAGGTGGCCCAGCAGCTGCGCCCGCTGCTTCCTCTCCTGTCCAGAAGGGGAGGCTGCTGGCGGGGAAGCTGCAGCGGCCCTCACACCCCTAAAGCCACGGCCCCTCCCGGCAGCCTCGAGTCAGTAAGGCTGGGGACCCCAGCGGCTCCCGAGGGCCAGCTCTTCGAGGAGGAGAGCACGGAGGAGCGCCCAGGCCTCCCCCCACAGAAAGCCTGCACCCCTCTCTGCCGCGGAAGCAGACACTGCTCAGATGCCATGAGACACCCCCCTGCCGTGGAAATCTGCCTGTCCTGCTGTCCACTGTGCACAGCGTCCTTCCTCGAGGGAAGAGAGGTCACTAATAAATTAGCACTGCTCTTCAGCAAGGTCCGCATTGGTTTGGGAAGGGAACCAGCTACGTTTTATCACAGGCCGGCTATTTTTGTGTGGGAAAGACCATACAGACAGGCCGGGACACAGTTTCCAGTTACCGGAACAGGAGCCTAGACATCCCGGGCAGAGGCCCAGCTGGGAGCTAAAGTCAGGCCCCACCGCCACCCCTGTTCACCCCCAGTGTGAGCCAGCCAAGCTGGTGTGGTGCCACATTCTCACCTACGGGGGGGAAGGCTGAACATGGACAGATCAGCTCTAAGGAGTGTTTGCCTCTTGCCAGTCTATGATGTCCTGGAATTTTGGTTAACCCTGATGGCATGGTGCTGGGGTGGTTAAAGTTGAAGGCTTGGGAGCCAGACAGTCGGGGCTTGAAGCTCAGCTCCTCGACTTACTAGCCCAGAGCCCTTGGGAAAGGTGCTTGCGCTCCTGAGTCTCCGTTTCACTTTCCAACTGGAGGTCACGATAGTCCGCACCTCTTCGGGGTGTTGGGGGAACTAAATGAGTCCGCACACATCGGGAGCTGAGAACAGTGCTAGCACGGGGTACGAACTCGGTTATCTGTGAGCCGCAGCCGCTCGGGGAGGGAAGGCAGCCGCCTGCTGCTGCTGGAGTAAACCGGGAACCAGGGCTGCAACAGGGCAGGGCATCACCCAGCTGCCAAGGACTGCCAGCTGCGCGTGCGCGTGCCCGCACGCGCCGAATGTGTGCCCAGGGGAAGGGGCAAGTCACCTCGGCTTCGTACTGCTCTCTGGCCTCAGCTACCACTTGTTGGTGCTCCTCCTTCATCTTGTCCATCCTCCTCTCATGGTCCCTTTCCACCTCCTGGCGCTTCTCTCGCAGGAGGTCACTGAGCTGCAGGGTAGGCAGCGGGGATGTGACATGCAGGCCCGAGGGTGGACCAGCGCATGGGGACTGAGGCACTCGAAGGTGGAGTACACGCACGCCTCCCCAGTGCCCTACACGCATGACTCGTGACGTGCAGGCACCACATCCCAGCACCCCTCCCCGCTTACGTACAGGGGCGCGGGGGTGGAGAAGCGCCCAACCTCAAGGGAACGGAGGCATAGAAATGCAACCAGAACTCTAGCCCCAGCTGAGCCTTCCAAAGCAAAGCAGGGGCCCCTGGGCCAGGACGGAGCGCCCAGGACAGGTACACGTAAGGTCGAAGGAGCCCACCAGCATTTACCTCTTGCTCATATTCAAGCACTTGGTGAACCTTCTGATGAGCCCTCTGCTCTGCCCGACTGAGGCTCTCCTGCAGCCGGGCCTCCTCTTTCTGCTGAGCTTCCTTCATCTTCTTCTGGAGGCTGGAGACAACCTGAGGAGGCCCCAGCACAGGGAACGGGCCACTTAGCGCTGCAGAGCAACCTCAGGGACTTGCCAGGGGCCCAGCACCCATCCCCAGGGGGCTTCAGTGGAGGGAGGCTCCTGCCCCAGGGGCAGGCATGGGGCCGAGTTCTGCCCACCGGCAGCGAAGGGGCCTTGAGGCTCTCGCTGAGGGAGGAGGACGCAGTCTCTGCCTGGCAGCCCAGGGCCGGCTGCACCTCACCTCCCTGTGCTTGGCCTCCAGCGAGGAAGAGAGCTGCTCCAGCTCGGCCTGGTGCTCCCTCTCCAGCGCTTCCACGGCCTGGGGAGCAACAAGGGGCCTGTGACAGCCGGGGGGCAGGGAAGGCTGGCCGGACACTGACCCCGGAGGAAGGGAGACCATGCCCGACTCCCTTCCAGCTAAAGGACCGAGGGGAACCGCAGAGACACATCTTTGTTCCCCCAAAATAACTCCGTCCCTAAAGGCTGAAACTAGCAAATGAGTAGGAAGTGAAGGCCAGAGTGGAGCGGTCACCGCTCCCATCCCCCTGCCCCTCTGGGCTAGGCCCCAGGTACACAGGTCACGCTCCTGCCTATGAATAGGGCCCGAGGCTATGAAGGCTGGAGGTCTGGCACAATTGGCCTGAACACCTGTGAGACAGGGACGCCCTCCCCCACCTCCTGTAGTCTCTCCTTATCTAAAAGCTGAAGCTCACCTTCACCCAAGGAAAAAAGTTCCACGTGGCCTGACTGTTCCTTACTTCCTACTCTTACCTAGAGACAGACCATCAGGAGACAGAAAGGATTGGAGACATGGGGAGTACAGACAAAGAAGAAAACCCTCCTCTGAGTGTGCAATCTCTCTACAGCCGGAGAGACGAAAGGTCATCGCAGATGCCCCTTGGGGACAGGGATGGGGACAGGCCACCTTTTTCTCAGAACCTCTGGTCTGATCTAAGTTCTTTCAGTCACAAAATCTTCCCAGATCCATATGCCATTCCCCCTCCACCCTCCTCACTGCCACGGACAGCACCCAGCTAGTGCCGGCCCTGGACAGAGCCCCTGGACACCTGCCATCCCCTCCCCTGTGCCATGCAGACCCGGGCTAGCACCTGCCCGGAGACAGCGGGGCCCACGCGGAGGTGGCGGGCCCAGTCGGCCCACCCACTGTCTCCAAGTCCCATGCCAGCTGTGGGGACACCTCCTCTGTGCCTGGCCCCCCCGCCCAGCCTGGCGCCTGGCCCCTCTCCAGGCAGCCCAGGGGCGCGTCCAACGGGAGGCTCCACGCTGCGGGCTCACCTCTTTCCTCTCCCCCTCCAGCTGCTTCCTGAGCTGCTGCAAAGCCGCCTCCTTCTCGGCATTCAAGGCAGCGTGCTCTCTCTTCTCCGAGGCCTCCACCTCTTCCTTGAGCTGTTCCAGCATCTGTCTGCTCCACTGTTCCAAGCTGGCCCTCTCAGCCTTCTGGAGAGACTCCAACTCTTCTCTCAGCCGCTGCAAGGAAGCCTCCTGCTCAGCCCTGAGCGGACAGACAGACGGAATGGGACGGGCCTGTGCACTCGGGGCACTGCCAGGGGCGGCCAGCCCACCGTGCGCTCACCTGATGCGGCCCTCATCTGCTTCCGCACTGGACTGCACCTGGGCCCGGAGCTGGGACAGCCTCCGGCTCTCCTCCTCTCTCATCTGAGTCTCCTCCTCCTCGGTGGCCTTCCGCAGCTGCTCCTTCAGGTAACTGGGATGGAAAAGAAAGGCAAGTTTGTTGGAGGAACCACTCTTCTATTTGTAATCTCCAACTCTCGGCCTCCAAAAGCCTGTAGCTCGCCTGCGAAGTTTCCTAAATCTGGGTCCTGCTGCCTCCCTCTAACACCTTCCAGGGTAAGAGGGGGCCACGAACGCTTCCTGCTCTTGGCAGCAGCCAAGAGGACAACAGGCTGCTTGATCCCAGAACAGCATTTCTGCCAGAGGCTCCCCTCTGCCCACAGGTACACCGCGGCATGGCATTCACTCGAGGACAGAGACAGTCTGACCCCAACCCAGCTCTGGTGCCGCGTCCTCTCACTTACAACCTGATCAACGGTTCCAGCCACCGCCTCTCAACCCCACCACACTCCTCCGCGCCTCTTGGCCCTTGTTCTTGCTGGTGCCTCCCCCGAGAATTCCCTTATTTGACAAAGCCATATTCACCGCTCAACACCCAGCTTCCTCCTCTCAGAGAAGTCTCCCAAGTCTCTCCAAGTTCATAAATTAGCCCTTCTGTTCCTTTTACCCTTTCTGCGAGGCCCTTCCTAATCCCAGGCCGCTCTGTACCACACATAGTCATTTCATCTTTTGTGTGTCTCTTTTCCTTACAAGTCTGGGAGCTTCTCCAGAGAAAGAATCGTGTCTTAAAGTCTTATATCCGAGGTGCTGAACACAGTAGCTGACGTGAAGTAGGTGCTCCATAAATGTTTGTGGAATTTGAACAGCATCACCCAGCCCCAAACTATAAGCAAGCGCCGATGATCCATAAGGGACATCTTATTTACGGACAAACGACGGTGAACATTTCATCCCAGGCAGATATCCCCCTGCCCACGCAGCCCCCACAGGACCTGGGGCTGTGTGTTGTGCGCTCGGGAATTCAAGCCTAAGAAAAACACGATTCAGAAGACAATGTCTTTGAAAAGCTTCCTGGTGAATTCCAAAGCCAAAAAAGATTTAGGGTCATTTTCTATTTCAAGTTACCTGCACCACTACTCTCTTCCATTGTGATAGAAAATTTGAGTTAAATAAAAATCCTCTCTCCTAGATTCCCCGGAAACCCTTTCTCCTTGTTCTATGGCTCCATTTTCCACACATCACCACAGGATGTCAGAGCTGGGAGGGCCCTGAGAGGTTATATCCTTCATTTACAACCGTCTCTCTTCATCTCACAACTAAATTCAATTTCTTCGTTTTATAACTAAAGAAACTAAGGGTCAGCCTTCCTGCCTTCCTGCCTGCCTTCTCATTCAAGAAGTATCCGCTACAAGGTCAGCTGTGGCTTCCAGAAATTTCTACCAAGTGGAAGTTGCCCAGCACAGATGGCCCCAGGCCTCAGAAAGGCTCATGTGTAAGCAGAAACAGGGTTCTTGCAATAAACTATTTCATAGCGAGTCTGACAAGGCACTGCCTACAGAAAAATCACTTCCTGAAGGCCACTGAAACCAATGACTTCAACTGGAAATAAAATCAAGAGCTACCATTTACTGAGCAACTACCATGTTTCAGGCCCTGAGTCAGATACTTTTGGCATGCTAGCCTTCACCACAACCTAAGAGAGTTCTTGGCGGCCTTCTGGAGCTGGGGGTTTGGCGAGGGACAGAAAGCACAGTCAGTCGTGCCCAGGGTGGCCAGGAAGAGAGGAAGAGCCTGGTGGGCTGGCAGGGAGACACTACCAGGATTTCCTCCTAGGCTCTGCCTGTTAAGATCAGCTAAGTCATACCCTGTTTAGGCAGGCCCCTGCCCCAATTTTCATTTGGCTGGAAGAGGAAGGTGCTGCCTGGCAGGGAATCTGGGAGGGGTGATAGAAGGATGGGCCCTGGGTCAGCAGATCCTGTGTTGGGCTAATGAGAGAGACTGTCCCCGGTCCTCTGGGTAGCTGGGTGTTGGTTTTCCATTAGTCGAAGTTAAGCATAAACATTCTATGCACTCTTTGCTATGTATGATATAAAAATAAGTCTACCACTTTTGGATGTTCTGTCCAAGAGGAAAAGATTTAGCCTTTAGTTAAGTTGCCAAGTAAGTGAAAAATATATTAACACCTTGTTGTAGCCTCTGTCCCGCCCTGGGCCTGCGACAGACTGCTGACTACGTTCTCAATAGCCACTCTCCCATGCTCCCTTCCTATAGGGGCACTGATTTTTATTCGGTCAGGTAAAGAGACCCAACTCAAGGACTACATTTCCCAGTTTTCTTTGTGGCCAGGGGTAACTCATCAGATACGCATGGAAATTATTGAGTAAACTTTCCAAGAGAACTTCTTTAAGAATAAACAGAAGTTACTGGGTGAAGTTTCCAAGAACGTACCTTAAAATGGACCAAATGAGCTGGAAGGTACCCCTTTTGTACTCTGTCCCTATCCTTCCCACCTGAGGCCCAGACACAATGGCTGGGGATCCAGAAGCCACGCTGGACTCTGAAGAGACCCTGAGAGTAGACAGCACTTAAAGGCAGCAGAGAGATTAAAGGACCGCCAGGGACCTGGTGACTCTGGAGCTGCCATGCCAGCCCTGGATGGCCTTTTCCTGTAAAAATAACCTCTAGCTTGTTTACAGATGTGTACACATCATCTCATCCACACAGACCCAGCCCAGCCTTAAGTGTCTTACTCGTTGAGGGCGTCCCAGCCAGCTACATAAAGAGCAGGAACCCAAATAGAAACTTCTGGGTTCTGGGAAATAGCACCTCAGACTGTACTATGTGGTCCCCACCAATCTCACTGGGTCCCAACAGGGCCCTGACTCCTGAGAGAGAGGACAACGTAGTGGTTAGGAAAACGGGCTCCAGGGACCAGCTGCCTGGGCTAACCTGGCTCCACTGCTCAGTAACTTCGACACCTTGGACAAGGCACCTAGCCTGTCCATGCCTCAGTCTCTTCATCTGTATCACAGATCCTGTAGGACTGGGCTGACAGCAGTACCTCGTAAGAGCCACTCTCAGGACTAAACCAATTACCAGATATAAAGCACAGGGACCAGGGCCATCTCTCAAAAAGTGTTAGCTACTTGCACTATTATCACGCCTCCCAACTCCCTCCCGAAAAGACGAACCAGGGAGCCCCTTCCTCCGCACAGGCCATGGAGGAGGAGGAGTCTCGGTGGGGCCTCGGGTCTCCGGGGCGGGAGACAGGGGGTCGCTTGCTCCCCATGTCACTGCGAGGCCCCGGCAGCTTGCCGAAGGGGAGGGGCAGGACCTGAGAGACTTCTCTTTCTGCTGGTGAAGCTGGAGGATCTCCTCTTCCTCCTCCTGCCACAGCTTCTCCCGCAGCTGCTGCATCTTCTCCTGCTTCGATTCCAGGAGCTGCCTCTGGTCTTGCTCCAGGTCCTGGGCCATGGCCTCTTCCATGGCCTTCAATGAAGCCTGCTTTGGGGGAGCTGCAGGCTCCGTAGATCGCCTGCCAAGGGTGGGGGACAGCATTTCACCAGATTTAACATCCACCTGTTATACAGATCCAGAACAACACACAAGGAATCCTCTTGGAGGGCCCAGGGGTCAGGAATCACATATGCAAATCAGGCCACCCCCGGGCCGGTGGGAAGGTTAGCCCCTCAAAGATATAGGCAGTGTCTGTTCACAGGGCAAGCCCCACTGTGGCTAAGGCCCCAGGGGCCAAGAGAGAAGGGTAGCCCATACTAGGCTCTGGGGGACCTGGCAGGTTGTAGCCGAATGTGAAAACCTGAAGATGTGGCTCAAGACCTGGCAGCCACAGGGAGAGACTGAAGCTCTGCCCATAATGGAGTCCTCCCCAGGATGGTTCATGGCCCTGTTCCTGTGTCCCCACTAGGGCTCTGCCTGCTACTCGAGGCTCCCACCAGCAGTTCGGGGAGTCCCCAGAGGCTGCTCTCTGCCTCCCAAACTGAACACAGGCAGAAGCAGCAGCAAGTCTCCTAGCCCTGACACCCAGAAGAGTCCATGGAGGTCCAGCACAGGAAGGCCAAGGGAGCCAGGCAGGAGACTGTTCCCTCAGCCAAAGCCAGTAGCAAGAGTGCACCAAGAATGTCCTGCTCCATCTCTCCTTCATGATGCCACGTTTTCATCTGCTCAGAGTTAACTCCATGCTTAGAAATGGATAAAAGAAATTCAGTGCTAACCTGGATGCATAAGGTGGGTGGTAAGATAAGGAATAATGGTCCTGGTGGAAAAGATGTCTATGAAGTAATGAGGGTTCTTGAAGGAAATGCCCAGAAAGAAACCCAAGAACATTTGGAGGCACGAAAGCGTAAGAGGGATAAAGTACTTCGCCTCTGGGAGCAGCTTTCCTAAAGGCCAGCGCCTGTGTGCATTCCCAGGTCCCTCATCTTCTGTTAGAAATTGGTCTCGCCACACAACAACCACCCTTCCCCGAGAGTGCGCAGGCACGGCCGGCCAGGCACGCTAGCCCCGTCAGCGGCATGGGCACGGTCCACACCAAGGAGCAGCATGGGCACGGTCCACACCAAGGAGCACTGGAGCAAGAGTGGAAGAGGGGACGCAGGACCGCCTTCCCCTCACTGCAGCAGATGGAAGGCGGTGGCCGGGATCAGACTAGAAGAGCAAAGAAAACAAGGGCTTTGGAATTCCGTCTGGGCCCCTTGAGCCCAGAGAGAGAAGGAAGACATAAAAGGCTCCTGACGTCTCTGAAATACCATTAAGATCTTTCCTTCCCCCTTTCCTAAAATCATTAACTCAGACCGGAAACAGCCTTGGGCCAGGCCTTCAGTTCTCTTCTGCTCTCAACCCCATCTCCATCCCCCTTCCCATTCCCGGCTCTCCTCCAGGTCCCCTGACCCAGCCCAACTGATGCGGATCTAAGAGACACTGTCACCACCTCTTCTGAGAGTCTTGCTCTCCGAGAGAAACTCCCCCCACAGCTCTCCGCCTCATCAACCCTCCAACTCATTTCCAGCCTTGGCTGAAAACATCTTTTTTTTCCCTGAGATGGTACCTCTGAATGTCTGTCTCCCCTGTGGGCTGCGTAGCTATGTGGAGCCCGAGGAACAGATGCTGCGGAAAGACGGGACCTCAGATGGCGCAGCAGTGTGCGCCCAGGCGACGCGCACGGGCGAGCACCCAGGCGAGGGGGGCTGCTTTCCAGCAGGCTCTTCCCCTTGTCCCCGTTTTAGAGCTCTAAGTGTCCCTAACGCCCCGCTTTGGTCCAAGGCCGTCAACGATGGCCCGACTGATTGAGGAGACAACAGGGAAGATGAAGCCTCCAGAGGAAGAGGCGGGTCTGATTTCGAGGCCACTCCTCAGGTGTCAGCATCAGACAGACCCAGTTTCCAACAGGCAGCGGCCAAGAGGACGCTCCGTAGGGGCATCATCATTTCAGGCTGGCCACCGAGGAAGGGAAGGAGTGGGGAGGGCAGGCGGTGGGGAGGGAGGAGGCGGTGGTGCCCAGGACATTCTCGACTGGCTGCACCGCCCCTAAAATTGCAATTAAAGAGATCCCATCCTTTTCACGTTCGGCCCAGTGGTTTAAATTCGTTTACCCCCTTTTTACAAACACCACATGAGAGGTGCCGGGATCACCAAGGGGAGGCTATTCCTGACTCTCGGACCCAGGCCTTTAGGCCGCAGAGAGCACACACAGGGGCGGCTGCTTGCTGGCCCGACCTCTGCCCCTAACTCCTTCTGATCCAGCTTGATAACATCTGTGAAAGGCGACAGACTGCATGAATCATGGTTTTGGTTTTTTGTTATTTTATGATGTTTTGATATCTGTGTAAGTTTGCTGGTAGAGGAGAGAAGGCGGGTCCCAGGACTAGCCTGCTCTTACTGATGGCAGGGAACGTGTCTTTCATATGCAAACCAACCAATCCCCCAGGGCGCCACACCAGAAGCATCTTCTTCCAGAACTCACACCAAATCACAAATCAAGCAGGGTCGCAGGGTTGCAGGGTTGGGCCGGGAACCAGGCAACTGGCGGGCCACCCCCATAGCCCAAAGCCCGCCAACATTGTTCAAACTATCCAATCCCACACTCACTCGAGGTACTTACCCTGCCTTGCCCATTCCTTCCCACGGAAACCCCAATAAAGGCTCTGGGCCATGCTCTCCCTTTTCGCCTCTTCTGCCTCCTGACACATCCTGCTCCTTCCCCTTGTGGCCTAGCATGGCGTGGCACACCCTTTTCTCTCTGGAAACATAAGTAATAAATTCTTCCTTAATGGCATTGGCCTGTGTTGTCACTCAGTCACCTCCATAAATTAAAATCCCACAGGTACAAATGAGACCCAGACACAGAGCTACTCCTCACAACACACAGAAACGGAGCTGTGAAGACAAGTAACAGGGAAGTTATGGGACCTGAAAAGACTCAGGAAAGGAACAGAAGACATTCCCTAAGCATGCTAGTAAAGTGAAACTGTGTGGTGGAGGAATGTGTCTCTGAGACCCAGCGGGGGCGGCCTCACCAGTTTGGGAGAAGAAACACAAAGTAAGGGGGCGCATCTCATCAACCCAGACAGCTCAGGAGGGGCCTGGCCGCCCAGCTTCCATCCCCAAGCTGCCAGGAAGACGCCCTCTGACCTCTGCCCAGAGGGTCCTGTCTCCTGTCCTCATAGAAAGCACCCTGCCCCGGTGTCCACAGCCACCAAGGAGGCTTGGGAAAGCCCTGTCACTCCTCAGTGTCAGAGCTGTCACCACCTGGAACGCGGGGCTGCCCCTTCCCTGCGTCACTGCGCAGTGTGGAGGCGAGGACAAGAGTCAGGAGCTCATGCGCCCTGCCAGCTGTGAGTAACATGTCCCTACTCAACAGTCAGCTCCGGTTCCTAATCCTTTTGCGGCACTCGGTTCGCAGACGCAACAAACCCATAACCCTGGCTCCTGTCTCTCCACGCAGAAAAAAGGACCAGTGGCCGCACACTGAGTAGGAGGTCGAGGGCTCCAGCGACCAGAGCCTCGTCCTGGTTAGACACCCCACCAGCGATGTGATATTGGGCAAATCCCTCACTGCGAGCCTCAGTCTCCTCAGCTGTGAAAGCAGTAGAGGGGAAGGAGACAATGGGAGGAGGAAAGTTCAATGGTCTCTAAGTTTTAGAAGGGCGTGGGTAACAACGGAGGTGAACCTTGGACCCAGGCCCAAAACGCCTATCCGGATACGGTATAATTCCATTTATGTCAGGCTGGAGAACTGGAAAGGCAAACCTAGGGGACAGAAGCCAGAAGCGTGGTGACCTGGGGCGGTGCGCGGGGAGGAAAGGGGCATGAGGAAACTTTCTGAAGGGACGGAAATGTTCTACCTCTGATCTGCGTGTAGGCGTGCGTTGTTGATTCGTACAGTTCAGATTTATGTACTTTCATGTAAATACCTCAATAAAATGTTGCTAAGAAAGCGAAAAATAGTGCTTGGTAGAGGGGAAAACAGGATTACCGGGTTTCTGCTAGCCCTCACGTCCACCTTCATTCACAGCTGCCTGGGGTCTCAAAGCGGCACACAGAACAAAGGGCACACTCAGTCTCCCCCGACTCCACCCCCTCCCTACCACCCAAGAGTGGTGGGCACTAAAGCAAAGCACACACAAGGGAGGACGGGGACAGACATTAACACTGGCCCTTACGCCTCTGGAGAGACTGGCGGGGCAGGGCTGGCCGCCACCTTCTCCTCGGGCTCCTTGGCCTCTTCCTGCCCAAGGCCCAGCTCCGTGACCTGGGAGCGCTGCTCCTTGCCCCTCTCGTGGGCGGCAGGTGGGTCTGGGGTCTCCTCCCTTGATAGCAATAAGGAAGCAACTGTATTAAAGCTGGTGGGAAGGCAAGAGGCTCTAGATGCACCCATTCAGGGTCAGAGAGCCCTGAGGACAAGGGAAATCAGCCCCAACTAAGTGTCCCTATCTCGGGCCTCACTCTCCCCCCCTCCCCCGCCTCTTCCCCAGCTATTTACACTGAAGGCCACAGACACGTCCATGTGGGCTGCGGAAGGGTTACGGCGCCCAAGGAGAGACTCTGCACACAGCAGGTAGTCAGTGGATGCTGTGCACCGAACATCGAATATCGCTGCTGCTCGGCTTCCCCCAGTGACTCACTCCAACTGAATGTGCTCTAAAACCAGCATCTTCCTCTCACCAGGGGAACAGAAGAACTAGCAAATGCAAGCCAGGCTCTGGGCCAGGCTGGGGCACAAAGGTCCCCTCAGCTAGCCTCAGGGAAGCCTAGGACTCTGCACCTCCCTCCCCCAGGGGCCCAGCACAAAATGGGGCTCTCCTTCGGTTTGCTGTAGGACTAGAAGTGGGATGACTGCTAAGGGGTGGGGAGCACGGGCAGGTGGGGACTGGAACAAATGCCCCCCTGACAGCACAGCCCAGATGGGAGATAGTCTTGCCCGAGCCCCTAGCAGGAAGACAGCTGGATCACAGGAGATGCTTCCAAGAGTTTCTAGGCTCCCCTAATCAGATGGTGCACCCCAATTTTAGCTATAGACTAAGAACTAGGAAGAAGCAGGTTTCCTCATTCCCCAGCTCACGTGGGGCACTCAGTGGAAACCTGCAAACCCACCCCAGCTCCCCACCTCTCCAGGCACCCCCAGCAGCCTCTCTCAGCCCCTGCACCCACAACTACACGCCTGGAAGGCTTCCAGCTCCCCCTTACCTCCGCAGGGAACCAGGCGGGATGGGGCTGACTGCAAAGTCCTCCCCAGGCTCTTCTGCATGCTCCTGCCTGGGCTGCCCCTCAGAGGCCTGCGGAGGCCCTTCTTCGGTGGCCTGGCTGTGAAGGGGACTCTGGTGCCACCTCCCAGGCACAAGTGGAGGAGACAACCTGGTCAGACCAGCCAGAGCAGCAGAGTAAGGCCTGCTGTTTGAAGAGCAGGGAGAGAACTGGAGAGTGTGGTATGTGGATCTGGGTCCATTCCTCCTCCCAGACAGGGCCCCAGCCCCGGCCCTACATCCACAGGGAGCCATGGAAGGCAAAGCAGCCAGAAAAGCAGGAAAGGGAACCTCCCCACTGAGCTCTCCCTTTGCCCTCCCGGGTCCCTGTGCTGCATCTGCCCGTCCCGGGGTGAGAGCTGGGCCCTCTCACGGCTGTATCCACTCCCAGCGCTCACGATCACTGAGGCCAGGCAGGGATGGAAGAACTGAGCAGAAAATAGGGAGAAAGAGAGAAGCCAGACTGGAATGGTCAGACTACAGAAAATGCACGAAGCTGTAGCTTGCAGCTCGTAGGAAGGCTGCTAGCTCCTCCAGGCTCAAAAAGCAGAATGACTGCCCCACCTCCTCGTCCAGGGTGGTAGTTCTCCTCTCACTGTGGCTCCAGCCTCAGAAGCTGGAAGGCCCTGTCTCTCTCTCCCAGTCTTTCCGCTCTCCCTCCCGGTTTGTCTGTGTGTCTCTTGCACGTGCACGCACACGCACACACAGTTGGCTGCAGCCATTTCTGATGTGGCAGGGCAACAGCTCCGAGCTGCGGTACTGACCCTCCAGCCAGTTCCTCCAGCCCGGGCCCACAGCGCCGCACAAAGTCCCACCCAATGTACCCACATCCTGTCTCGGTGCAGAATCCGAGGGTACGCTCGTGTACACGCGTGCGCGCACGCACACAGACTCTGCGAGGCCATCCGGTCAGCTCACCATCTGCCTTCAGGCGGGAGCGCACTGAGCCAGGCATTCTGCCCAAGTCCACCCCATCCCCAAGGTCCCTGAGGGCGGCCTCCCACGTACTGTACCTCTCCGAGCCTCTGGACTGCTTGCTCTGCAGCTCATCTTGGCTGGACTGGCTGCCATCCTTGTCTTCTCTTCCCAGCCTCTGGGCCTGTAGGCAAGGAGCAGGGGAAAATGCATACTGGGGAGGTCAGCATTTGAGTGCCTTAATTCTCCAACCAATTCTTGCACCTAGGAGGAAGTACTGAGAGGTGGCTCTTGAGTAGGATGACCACTCGGGACACAGAAGAGAAGGCCCCTCTACTGTATTATGGGCCCCCCTAGGGCTTTGGCTAAGTCCCCAGGCTCACAGCTGCTGCCAGGGCTGGCCTGGCTGGCCTAGGGAGGAAGAGCCAGAGGCCACAGCCACGGTCTGCAGAGCCAGAAGCCAGAGACTACAGGAGAAAACATACAAAAAAGAAAATCCTGCCTCCTGTCATCGGAAGCCTTCACTGGCAGTTGCAAAGAGAAAGCTGAGACATCCGTGAACCCTCAAATGCACAGAGGCCCAGCCCTGCAGCACCAGTGACAGAGACACTGCGATGATGGGCAGAAGTGACTGAGGCAGCAGCCAAGCATGTGTGGAAGAGGAAGGACCCTGGAGAGATGGGGACGTGGTGAAAGGAGAGAGCGCTATATTCCAGACAGAAAAGATATCATCTGGGCACCCGAAGGGAGGAAGATAAGGTGCTCCACTGCTTCACTCCGGGACCCCCCAAAGTACCCAGGTCCCATCAGTAGCCAACGATGCCCCCTTCCCAGTCAGGCACTGATTACACCATGTATCCAAAAAAAAAAACCGCAACCCAAAAAAACAAAATCTCATGGGGGCGGGGGGCAAAGGGAGAGAGAGAATCTCAAGCAGACTCCATACACAGCGTGAATCCCAACACAGGGCTCGATCTCACAACCCTGAGATCATGACCTGAGCCAAAATCAAGAGTCAGACACTTAACCAACTGAGCCACCCAGGTGCCTCGCCCCCCAAAAATCTCATTTTAAAGCTTGGGTGTCTAGGCAAATCTAGCAAGCTGGTGAAAAAGAGGGCTATTGTTGAGAAGTTCAAATATTTCCTGCAGGGGTGGGGCCTCAGGGGGATGGCAGTGTTGTCGGCCTGGACTCGAGCTCTTGCTCTATCACTTTCTAGCTGGGGAGTCTGTCTCCTCCACTATAAACTGGGACAGTAACCTGCAGCTCACAGGGCTAATGGTGAGGATTATGTTAGCTCATGTACATAAAGCCCGGCTCCTGGCCCAGAGAAGGCGTCCCACAAATGCCAGCCCCCCTGTTCCTGCTCCTCCCCTCTCCCTAGCCTAAGGCACAAAAACCCAGCTCTACCAGGGCCAGTCCCCATCCGAGGACCCACGCTCCCTCTGTCACGCTGACGGGAGCCCCGTCTGTTCTGGGACATCAGAGTTAACGGGAGAGGTAGGGCAGGAGACTCCATCTTTTTTTTTTTTTAATTTTTTTATTGTTATGTTAATCCCCATACATCATTAGTTTTAGATGAAGTGTTCCACGATTCATTGTTTGTGCATAACACCCAGTGCTCCATGCAGAACGTGCCCTCCTCAATATCCATCACCAGGCTAACCCATCCTCCCACCACCCTCCCCTCTAGAACCCTCAGTTTGTTTTTCAGAGTCCATCGTCTCTCATGGTTCGTCTAACCCTCTGATTTCCCCCCCTTCATCCTTCCCCTCCTGCTATCTTTTTTTTTTTTCTTTTTTTTTTTTCTTAACATATATTGCATTATTTGTTTCAGAGGTACAGATCTGAGATTCAGCAGCCTTGCACAATTCACAGCGCTTACCAGAGCACATACCCTCCCCAGTGTCTATCACCCAGTCACCCCATCCCTCCCACCCCACCCCCCACTCCAGCAACCCTCAGTTTGTTTCCTGAGATTAAGAATTCCTCATATCAGTGAGGTCATATGATACATGTCTTTCTCTGTTTGACTTATTTCACTCAGCATAATACCCTCCAGCTCCAGCCACGTCGTTGCAAATGGCAAGATCTCATTCCTTTTGATGGCTGCATAATATTCCATTGTATATATATACCACATCTTCTTTATCCATTCATCTGTCGATGGACATCTTGGCTCTTTCCACAGTTTGGCTATTGTGGACATTGCTGCTATAAACATCGGGGTGCACGTACCCTTTCGGATCCCTACTTTTGTATCTTTGGGGTAAATACCCAGTAGTGCAATTGCTGGATCGTAGGGTAGCTCTATTTTCAACTTTTTGAGGAACCTCCATACTGTTTTCCAGAGTGGCTGCACCTGCTTGCATTCCCACCAACAGTGTAGGAGGGTTCCCCTTTCTCCGCATCCCCGCCAACATCTCTCGTTTCCTGACTTGTTAATTTTAGCCATTCTGACTGGTGCGAGGTGGTATCTCATTGAGGTTTTGATTTGGATTTCCCTGATGCCGAGTGATATAGGAGACTCCATCTTCACCCATGGGGTTCTGGCCGGGCTGGCCTACGGCTGTGTCCCCAGCCCTGTACCCACAGCCTCCCACGCCTCTCCACTGGCAGCCGGAGCCCCAGCTGCTGGGGCCGACGGTACCATCTGGATGGGCGAGGAAGGGCAAGGCCTGAACGAAAAGCCAGCTCCCCCAAATTCCATTAAAAAATAGAAATGCTGCCTGGGAATACCTCCCAGTGCCTGTAGCAGAAGGCTTCCTGCCAGGGCTGCCAGTGCTCATGGCATCAGCCTGGGCAGAGCCTGCAGCTAACAGCCCCCCTCCCCGCTCCTTCCAGTGTTCAACTCACTACCGTCTCCCCCTACAAATCACACCAAGCTCAGCAGAGAGCGCCCTCTCTCACTTTCAAGGAAAAAAAAAAAAAAAACCACAGGCCAATCTATGTAACAAACTAAAATGTAAAAGAGATAACAAAGTGGGGCGATCGTAATAAAAATGGGGGAATGGAGCCCTGAGTCTGAAAGGATGACCTTCTTGGCTTCAAGGCTCCATAAGGACAGGATCTGTGTCTGAGTCATCTTTGTACCTCTCTGGGGGCCAGATGTCCCCACACAGAGCTTACATCTAGGAGGGAGACAGACCCAAGAACCATAAAACAGAAGAAGCAGCACTAAGGGGAGCAAAGGGACAGAACGATTCATCCTGCCTGGAGGAGGTGACATCAGAGGTGGGCCTCCAAGACCGAGAAAGAGCTTGGGACAAAAGGGGAAGCAGCAGGGCAGGTGGAGCAGTGAAGGAAGTGGGTGGTATGCCCCAGAAACGGTGAGTGGTGGGCGCGGCTGGTGTGTGGCAGGTGGGCTGAGGAGGAGCCTGCAGGGGCTGAATGGGCCAGGTCGTAAAATGCCTTGAAATACACAGTCTATAGTACTTTGCACATGAGCAAGTGGTCAACCCTCAGTTGCTAAATAAACGGATAGACACATAGATTTATGTTGCGGTCGGGGAGGGAGGATGACTTCATTCACAGCAGCAAAGAGCGGGAATGATTGGCAGCCCATCGCAGGCACAGTCAGGGCCAGGCCCTATTGAATTAGAAGGGAGGGAGCTTCCAGAAATGTACCCTGGGATGGGCAGGGTTCTGCTGGGGCTTATCCGCCACCCAGAGAGACTCACCTCCCAGCGGGCTCCATCCAGGACCGGGGAAAGCACGTCAACATCCAGCAGGTGCTCCGAGATCCGGCTGCGAAAACCAAAGTCCTAGAGACAGTGGAGGGGGAGGTCAATGCTGCCCCCGTCACAGCGTCCACCAGGGCCTCTCCTCTGCCTCCCCGCCTTCCAGAAAGGTGCCTACTGCGGGCCAGGCACTGTGCAAAACATTTCCACATCTACTAGCTATTCTCATCTTCAAAATAACACTATGAGTAGTCCAGAAAGGTATGATACAGCAATTATAATGGTCACTGTAGACTCTAAGTGGTAAGGATGTATGTATTCACTCGAAAATCCTTTTTTCTGTATGCCTGAAATTTTTCATAATAAAACCATAGGGGAAAAAATAAGCCCATGAGACTGATACTCTTATGGCTTCTCACGGGGAAGCAGGTCTGAGAGCACACGCAATTCGCCCAAGGTCACACAGCTCAGTAGCAATGGGGCTGGTGGGTCAGATGTGTCCTGGGCTGACTCCAAAGCCCAAGCTCTCTGCAGGACACACGCTGCAAGCATGTCACTTTCCAGCTGTCTCACCCTCCTGGTGCCCAAACAGGGTGCCAGGAGGGAGGCCAAAGTGCCCAGCAGGCTTGGAAGCGAGGCATGGTGGGCTGATCACCGCTTGCTCTTTTCCCCTTCTCCAGGGCCCCTCCGGACAATGGGGATTAATTAGTGGTGCTCCCTCCGCAGGCTTCTCTTGGGGAGGGACAGCAAGTGCCTACACCAGTGCCAGCTCCCTGCCGCCCTCTGGCTGCCACAGGACCCTGATCCTGCCCCCTCCGAGCCTAAGAGGCCTGCAGGGCTAAGTGAAGGATTGCTACCTGACAGCATGCTAATAGGGACAGTTCTGTCATCAGCCCTGACAAATGGCAGGAGGCCCAGGCCTAGGTCTGGTCCGGCTGTCCCATGGCTTCCTCCACCCACTCCCACAGAGAAGAAAAACGCTGATAGACACACTTCTCCACACGGGGACTCCCTTGGGGAGATGGAGCCCTTGCTTCCAAGAGTCCTAGGACATGGCTATTCTTCATGATGCTTTTTGGCAACAGTGACTCTCCGCCTGCCCTTCCTAGCTTGTGGGTTTTGTTTTTGTTTTTTTGGAGACATTTTCCTTTCAGTTTGAGTTCTACTCCACTTAATGTAGCTGCCATCTGCCTCCTAAGCCCATGGTTCAGTGAGGGGCTAGAGCACACAGCCTCCTAATTCCTCCACACCCCCTCCTATCATTACTGTTCATCCCTGACCCTCTCCCGCTAATCCCTTCCCTTTGATCTGCCTCCTCCAAACAGATGGAGCATGGTTTCCAGAGGTGATGTTCTGCCAAAAAGCACCCTCAACTACTCCCCATAGATACAGACCTGGCAAATGCAGCCAGGAGACAGCAGGCTGGGTGGAACGCCTGGGAAAGAACGACCATCCATCCATGCTGACATTCCAGGACAATGTCTTCTCTTTGGAAATGTAAGCCCAGCATCCCTCCTAGCTACAGCCTGAGGACTGGTCCTTGCCATTGCTTGGTGATCCCATAAACACACACACATGCGCGCGCGCATACGCACGCACACGCACGCACAACACACACTCTCTCTCTAACCTCCTAGATTCATGTAATGTTTCTGCTACAGTCCAGAGGCTCTAGACCACATATCTCCCAGACAATTCACACTGCAGACCCAAGAAAGAGTAACGATCGCTCATAGTTACCTGAGGTCTATAGGCTAACGCTTTACATTCTTTACCTCACCTTGTTCTCACAAGAAGCCTATGAAGTAGACAGCGTTACTCTTAGCTGATGGGTGGAGAAACGAGAGTGAGGCAAGACCCAAGTCTGAATTCTAACATCCCCACTTCAAGCTGTGTGATGCCAGGCAAATGAACCACAGGGACTGACAAATCCACGCTCTTCACCCCACTCTGCTGCCCCCACCTCAGACTCACCAGGTCCAGGAAGGACTTGGGGTCAGAATCAGTGGAGTCCAAGAGCTGCAGCTCCTTCACGTGTTCACTAATCTCCGACTTCTGGGGAAACAGACCCACCGAGAAGTTACCCAGAGCACAGCACAGAGCGTGGGGATCACCACCCAGGGAATGCTGTTCGGGCCATGGTGCCAACACAGGGCTGAGCCCTCACCAAAGTCCACCTCTTCTGGAAAACCTGAAAGAGGGCTTGGACCCTCCCCTTCCTTCTGGACACATGCATCAGCCCCCCACCTCACTGGGGCCGAACAGCCCAGCTGAGCCCACATTCTGACTGAGGTCAACAAGGATTTACACATGTAAGGAGAGCCAAGTAAAGTGGAAGGGAGACAGTTAGGAAACTGGCAGTAGGGAAGGTTCATGCTGTCCTAAAAAACAGAATGAGAGTATCTTTCCCAGGAAGCTGCTTAAAGCTCTTTAAATGAACTCCCTCACCATCTACCTGGAAGAGGAGCAGGACTAAGGGACGGAAAACTGAAAATGCCAATGGCACTGGGAAGTACTTGTGGGCATTTGGGTCACTGGCCCGGTCTTGTCAAAGCAAGACTCCCATGCCATGAGAGAAGTTTTCTGGTAACCTAACTGACTGCTGCTGGGGCCAAGTACTCCCCTGGTCCCCACCCCCTCAGTGTCCTCCCCTCTCTACAGAAACTCTGCAGAAACGCAGACTACAGCAACCTTGACTGGCTGGTGTCAAGAAGTAGAAGGGGGGAGGCAGGATGAGAAAGTAGGTACAACAGAAGAACAAGAATGTCCCAGGAGGGTGCCAATGGAAAGGCAAATTTCTACTGAGTTGCTAATGCCAGCAAGTTTGGAGTTTTAGTCAGGCTCTGGCTGCCTGCTGGGTCTGGGCAGGTGTGTCACCATGAAGGGTTCTGGCTGCTGGTGACAGCCCACTGCAGGGCCTGCAAGTGAAGCTGTAGGGACAAGGATCTGCACGGGGCTTCAGAGCGCAGCACAGGGAGGGAGCAGCAAGTCTCTGGGGCACAGGGGGACTTACCTTGCTCTGGTCTGATCTGCTCTCTTTGGGGTCGGAAGCCTCCTCCACGGCCTCGGCCTCTCCCTTCCTGGGATCCCCCTCTCCTGCATCCACTGGGTCCTCTGGTGCCTCCTTTTCGTTGGCTTTGGCAGGCTCACTGCCCCCAGGGTCCACCCCATTCCTGGACATCCCAGGATCACTCTCCTCATCCGTTTCTTTTTCCAGGAGCCAAGCACTTGCCCCTCTTCCCTGCTGCCCTTTGCCATCAGCGCTGCTCAGACTGCTGTCTGCACCCTGGCTGAGGAGCTTGCCAGGAGTGGGGGGCCCTGCAGCATCGGAATCCAGAGAAGCATCCTTCCTCTCTTCTGGCTGGCTTGTTCTCGGAGACTCCTAGGCAGCAGCAGACCATGTCAGACAAGGAGGCATCAAGAATTAATAAAATGATTTCAGAGACTTGGAACAAAATGGAACTGTCATTCCTTGACTCGTACGGGCCAGCGCTCCAGCTCTGACACCAGTGGTTATCAAACACCCCAACAGCTATTTAAAACCCAGATTCCTCGTTCCACTCCAGATCTACCGAATCTAAACGTCTGTGGTGATTTACAGACACCCAACCGGCCCCGTCCACCGACAGGCGTGGAAACCAGTGCACCGAACTCCATCACCGCCTACCACGTTCTCAAGGAATAAATGTCTCATTCCAGCCCCAGTAGCCAAATCACAGGATTGCAGACTCAGAAGTCAGTATTTACTTTTTAGAAAGTCAGTATGTATTTACGATGATGATGATGATGGAAAATCACATAAAAGTACCAAAGTCTAAAATTTCTGTTTTTTCCATTTTTAAAAGGCAGCAGGGAAATAACAGAAGGAGAGTGCCCTTCATCAGTAGTGACGAGGCTGGCTCTCCCCCTAAAGCCTCCCCTGCACAAGCCACCCTCTCCGCTGCATGCTCCGAAAAGCAGAAGCCAGGACAAGATTTACCGGGGGAAATGGCTATGAAGGATAAAGGGGTTGGGAGACCTTCGGAACACAGGTCTGACCTGTGACGGGGGAGCAGGATGGGGGTGGCTGAAACAGGCAAAGCCTCAGGCCTCCGCCTGGTCCTGAAAAAGTCTTGGCCTGCACCGCAGAGTCCCACGTCTGCCAGAAATGGTCCTGCTCCCAGGCCCGTTGTTCTCTATGGACAAGCACAGCCCTGGAGCCAAGCTGGATCAAAGGTGCCGCAGCTTGAGGCTGTTATTGCTAGGGTCCCCTCGGCAGCGTCTCTCAATAGGAGCACCCTGTCCAGCTGCCTGGTTCTCATGCACAAACCCCACTTTAAAGACTAGAAAAACCTTGAATGCCAGCCAAAGTAACAAAAGAAACCCCCTCCTCGAAATACAGCCAGTGCTCTCTCCTGGGTTCAGAGAAGCCTTCCTCCCAGAAAACATCACTTGGGCTGCTGGTGTGAACGACTTCTGAGCAGGGACTTTTGACACTTCCAGGTTCCTCACCCTGGAGACTCACCCAAGGAGCCTGGTCACTGGAGTCCAGAGGTCCCCGCAGATGCTCTGAACACAGCATTCATCCATGCTGTCTGTTAAAGGATCTATTGAACCCAAAGACGTGCCCATCCGCCTACTGACCAGCCAACCCAAACTTTCCAAGGATGGTGAAGAGAGGCAGGAAAGCAGAGCAGTTCAGAGCTCAGCTTCAGAGACAGACTACTTAGGTTCAAATCCCCACCCTTACAGGGACCTGAGGCCCATTATTTAACTTCTCTGTGCCTCAGTTTCTTCCTCTAAAATATGGGGACACAGGAGGACCTATCTCACTGGGTCTGGGGAGAGATTAAATGAGTTAACACTAAGTGAGCTAGAGAATGGAGAACAGTGCCCGGCGGACCCTAAGTGTCCCGTAAATGTTCCACTAATGTTTTACTGTGAGACACACATGGTCATTCCCCGGATGCCTTCTACGTGCCAAGCACTGCTCTGGGGACCCATACAGGAACAAGACATAGATCCTGCCCTGAGTATGGAGAAGAGTGAAATGCCCCAGGCAGCCCTGGTTATGAGCCTCTGCTGCCCAAAGCAAAGGGCACTGGACACAGTGGTGATACTGTCCCGGCCCCAGGCCCAGGGAGAAAAACAGGCAGTGAAAGAGAGAAGGGGAGGCTTCCCTCATGCCTTGGCAGCTTGAAGGCAGGGTACCCTCCAGGGCTGCCCATCTTCCCAACATCCGTAGCCTGCGGCTTTGGGAGAAATCCGCTGTGACCACTGAGCTAAGAGAAAGGGGGGAGGTGAGCCCCTCCTCCTCAAAAGCAGGAGGAGCAAAGTGAGGCCAGGCCTGCTCATCCCAATCCTCGCGACAGAGGCCAGCACGCAGCTGGGGGCAGTACCCAGTCTGAGGGGCTCCACGGACCCCCAGGGGGTGGGAGTTTCTCAGGGTGACGGAGGGGTGTCTGGCAGAGCCAATCCACCCGTGTCGTGCTCATCTCATGAAGAGAAAAGAGCAAGAGACCTTGCATTAGGGGACAGAGGAGGGTCAGATCACCAACAGCACCCACGGCCTTCAAGATAAAGTCCACATCTGCTCACATAGCCCAGAGCCTTTCCTGCCCAGTCCTGCCTGCTTCACAAGGGTCACAGGCAGCCACAGCCTGCACGCGTCCTCCCGCCTGTGGATGAACCTGGTGCCATTTCACTACCTGGCCGTGCATGTTCTTTTATTCATTTTTTCCTTATTTCACTTTATTTAGCCAACGGTCACACTCTGAGCCCCACCAAATTGCTCCTCCAGCCTCACTCGAGGGTCTGCTGAGGGAAGAAGCTCAGAGGGCGACCAGGAAGGCCCGGGTTCCCCAGTCTGCCTCCTCTTCCACCAACACACACTGCACAGCACAGCACAAAATCACTGCTTGTATCCGCAGGCACCCCCCCAAGGTTGTTGGGGGGCCCTCCAGTGTTCAAGAGCTGCCTGCCAGGGCCCAGCTCCAGGCAGACTGCCCCTTGCTCCTGAGATGCCATGCACATTCTACACACACACACACACACGATCTACCCGGACAAACTCCCACTGGCCCGCACAGTATCACGTCTTCCAGAAAGCCCTCCCTGACCGCCGGGGCAGCTGTCCTGAGATGAGCCTTCTGGTCCCGTCACAACAACTACTGTAACACCACTGCTGATTTCCCCTCTGTTTCCCTCACCAGGTCAGCTCCCTGCCATCCTCAGTGCCTAGTTTCTGACACATAAATGCACAGCAAATACTTGTTGACTGAATTTTTTAAAATGGTGTGTCATGTGGGCCCAGGAGCTCCGACTTTGTAAAATGGAGATGAACTATTCATTTCACAAGTTACAAAGGGTTTAGACTATTTGTCACAGTGCTTATTAAATGAAAAATGCTAAACAAATGTTAACTGTGAATATTCAAGACGAGGGAAGAACAAGTAACCTTTCAAAAGTCAGAGGACAGCAGATGCAGGAAGAGACTCCCATTCTTAGGCATGAGAGAAAGCAGTCAGGCAACAAGAATGTTAGGCCAACTCTGTGCCATTCTCACGATTATATTCTTCAAAAGAAGATTTTCCCATGATGGAGCTTATCCTAGTCTGTCTACCTAAACATTAAGATATTAAAATATGGCTACTATAAAGGAGTTTGCCTTCTCTGAGCCCGTGTCAACAAAGTCCAACAACTCAACAGCCAGAGGTAGGTCCTGCGGGTTGGGATAGCAGAGGGAGACGAGATATTTATTGCAGATGGCCCACAGTGCCTGACTGAGAGTATCGGGGAGAATGCATCTGACTCCATACCCCTCTCCCTTCACTTGGCCCTGCTCTTCATCACAGTGCAAGCCGAGGCCTGCCCAGGATGCACACCGCAGGCCCCGGTGTACCGTCTCCTGCTTTGGTGTTCGGGGCAAGGGCGGGGGGGGGGGGGCGCGGACAGGCCAGGGCGGGGGCTGCACCCTCGGCACCACTTTGTTCTCCGCTCATCCGTGCTCAGACTCCTTCTTTCTCCTCCTGTCACAGCCCCAGGCCCCTGAGTATCTCAAGGCAAATATCTGCTGCCTTTTTAAAAACAACCTTGTCATCTGCATGAGGAAGGCGGTGCCTGTAAGAGCATTTCATGAATATTTAACATACCCCCCAAAAGCTATGAGGTCTCCGATGCTGCAGTTCCCTCCTTCCTAGAGCACAAAGGCGGGCTTGGGAGGGAGAGAGTGGAGGATGGGGGAGTAGAACCCCCCAAGCCAGCCATCAGTCAGGTTATTCACCACATCTCCTTCCCACCCAGTTGGTCTCAATTCTTTGCACTGCTTGTTGTTAGCACTTCCCAATCACACTGACATCATCCTGTGATTTCTAAGCCCAGCTGCCTCCCTCTCCTTTGAGCCGAGGATGGGTTCTCACCAGCTCCACCAGGCCACATGCTGCGTGCTCACCCACCCTGCTGCCTCCCATCCTCACTCACACCCATTCTCAGTGTCTGGTCCGTGAATCCATCCTCTTTGATTCTATAATTGACAAGAAATGGATTTACACTGAAGGCAGGAGAGGGGAGGAGAGGAGAGGAGAGGGTGAGAGAGAAAGGGAGAGGGAGAGAGAGTGTGAGAGCGAGAAAGAGAGGCATTCCTGCCATCCTACTGCCCTCTCATGGAATCACGAGCAAAGTGACTGGACAGCACAGAGACAGGGTAGAACACACCAGAGCAGGAGTCCTCCATCTACGGCTGCCCAGGATGCCCAGGAACGGGAAGAAATGGGTAGCTCAAAGGATCCAAGCTCTATAAACACGGACAAAAACCATTTTCAAAGGGTGCGGTCCAAGCAGAGGCAGCTTTGTCTATCCTGAAACCCCTGTTCATCCTCAACACTGACCTTCCACACCAGGAAAAGCCCTCCTAGTTCCTACCTGGGGTTCGAACGCAGGAACCCAACACTCCCTGTGGCAAAAAAGAATGAGATCTGCTGGGATGCTAGAGACAGGGTTAAATACACCTCCCACTCCAGACATTTCCCCCCATCACACTGCGTTGTCTATTTATATTAAAGAGGTTATAAAAAAAAATATGTTTAAAAGCTCCCACTCCCCCAGAGAAACATAGAATTGTCAGAAGGGAAGCTTCTGGAAATCCATGACATGTCAAAGAAGATCCCTTTCTTGTTGACATTTGTAATCCATTATGAAGTAAAAATTAACAAGTTCAAAGTCAAAGTGCATCATGATTGATCCACAGTGGGATCCTCAATCGGCCAGAGGACAGCAGGGACCAAACAATCTTCCCAGGGCCTGGAACAGCCAAGGGAAGGAAACAGTAGAACACAGAGCACAACACAATCTGCAGGATTCCCCTCCTTGTCCCAGAGGGGCTCACTCTCCTGGTTCTCTCAGCCGCTCAGCAAAACATGCCCACATCCTTCCTATGCTCCAGGCATGGGACAGTGCTGGCCATATACACATGAATCTCTACTCCCAATTTGCTCAGTCTCATGGAGAAACTTTCTCCTTTCTCTGAGAGCCAGTTAAGTCCTCTTGATGCTCCATTCCTGCTCATGGTCATCCTTCTCGGCTCCAAACCTGAGCTGCTGATTGCATCGGCAGTATGAGGCCTTCATGGCCGATGAGAAGAAACAAAGTTGTCATTTCAGGGAACCAAACACACTGAAGGCTTTGAATGGAATGCAAAGAGACCAGGCCCCACTCACAAGTTTCAAAGTGGACATAGATCAGGCTGATGATAAAGATGGGACACTCGGGAACACAGTGTCACATTTCACAGAAAGTGTTGAAGTCACAATCAAAACGTATCTGATTGGGCACTGCCAAAAATGTGGACAGTCTCCAGGGTAAAAATGGGGACATAGTTCCGAGAAGAAGTATAACAATAAAACAGAGTCTGCCCTATGGCTAGAGCTGGACCACCCAGGAAGACCCAGCTACAACTCCAGGCCTGTGGGCCAGCATCCGCAACCTCCACCCACCAAGACGTTAACCCTGGCTCTTGAGGTGAGCTGAAGACCAAGAAGTACGAGTCAGAAACAGTAAGAGCACGGTAAGGGATAAGAACACAGTAAGAGATAATAAGGAAACAAATTTAAATCCATGATACAGGCACTGTTGCTTTACTGGTCAGCTTTTCGATCCTTCTAATAAAACATGAGTGATCAGTTTCACTTGAAAGTGTTGCAAGTATGTGAAAGAATTTTATATATTAGACTTATGAAAAGCTTAATTCAGCTTGCAATCAATATCTCGAAGTTTGGGGAAATCTGAGCTGCTGACGTCATGATTTACTGGTTATATGAATACCGTGGGAATATTGAGGGAAATCTTAATTGCTGAAAACGAATAAATTGGACATTAGACAAAGGGCATACTATAAAACCACACTGGGGGGTTGTAGGTATTATAACACCATGATGAGTTTTGGGTTTTGTTTGTTGTAAAGAACTTTCCGGTGGCGATGGAGGACAGACCGGGGGACAGAGATTAGAAGTGACAGGACTACTGTGGGGAGAGTCTGGAAGCTATTCCCATCCGCAGTCTGCACTTCTCAGGCCCTGCGCCTTTGCTCAAGCTGTTTGCTTGCCCAAAATATCCTTTACACCCCCATGTCTAAAACTTACCTACTCTTTAAGAGCCAGGTCAAATGTCATCTCTTCCAAGATTTTCCTGCTCTCCAGGCAACTCACGTCCTTCCCCTCAGATCTCCCCTAGGCCCGCCACCTGTACCAGCAAGAGCTCTCTGCACACACCGCCCTGCTTTATGGCTGCCTAGACAGTCAACACCACAGTGAGCATTCACTAAACGCCAAGGACCTGTTGTCCTTTCTCTCTCTCCAGCTGCAAACTCCATGAGGCCAGCCCAACCCATCTTACCAACCTCTGTGTCTCCACAGGGCCCAGCACAGTGGCCAACGTTCGACAACTGTGAAGACTCTGGATGTCACACCTCTGTTCAAAACCTCCAATGGCCCCCAGTGCCTGGGGACCCCAGGGCAAACTCCTCAGCTGGCACTTAGGGCCTCCGTGATGCAGCCCAAGCTACCCCCACAGACCGTCTCCCACTCGTCTCCCACAGGCACTCTGTCTGCACTCCAGCCAAAGGAGACACCCTCACCTTCCCCAACCTCGCCCTGCACCCTCTGCCTCTGCCCGTGCAGGGCCCTGAATGTGGGCTTCTCTCTCCCCACTCACCTCTGCCCGGCCAGTCCTGCCCACCGTCCTTCCTGGCTCACCTCACGTGGCAGTTTCTCAACAAAGCCCTGCCTGGTCGATCCACGGAGCTTGGAGACCCCAGATTCTCCTCGCCATGGTGCTCCGTCTCACCTCCCTCACAGCTTCACCGCCTTCTACTCTGTTTTCTGGGAATGGAAGCCTCTCTTCTGTGAGGCCGCAAACCCTCAGGGGGCAATAATCCCATCTAACTTAGGCTTGCAGGACCTACAGCCCCCAGCAAAGTACCTCACATGGCAACATTCAACCACTGGTGGTTATCTGGCAAATGCGCAGATGAATGGATTCCTATTCCCCTTTGTGCTTCCCCAAACTCCAAAAATCCCATCTAGACAGCACTGAGACAAGACAGTTCTCTTTCCAAATGTGTATCCCCCAAGGAGAAAAGCTTAGGAAGGACGGAGGGACAGACCAGGCGGAGGCATTTGCCTGCAGGGCTTCAGACTCTTACCTCATACTCAAAGTCACCCCCCAGTGCCCCAATATCCAGGTGCAGGTTCTTAAGAAGCTCACTTGAGCTGCAGACACTCTGAAAACAAACATGATTACAGGTGGTAAGTCAAGGAAATGGGTCAGCCCGGGGTGAGGGCCAAGAAGCTCCTTGTTGGTTACACTGTCTGGGTCAGGTCTAGAAAGTACATGGATTGGGCAAGAAGTGAAGCTGTGGGCTGGAAAATCATTTTACTTATTTTTAAAGGAGCAGAGTTGGCCAAAAGGTGGAAACAAGCCAAGTGTCCATCAACAGACGAACGGCTAGACAAAACGTGGTCTGTTCATACAATGGATTATTCGGCCATGCATGCTACAACATGACGCTGCCTGAAAACATGCTATGTAAAAGCAAGCAGATACAAAATGGCAAATACTGTATGATTCCACTTATATGAAATATCCAGAAGAGGCAAATTCAAAAACAGAACATAGGGGCGCCTGGGTGGCTCAGTCGTTAAGCGTCTGCCTTCAGCTCCGGTCATGATCCCAGGGTCCTTGGATC